TTTTTTTTTTTTTTTTTTTGGCGGTACTGGGGATTGAACTCAGGGTGCTTATTCTACTGAGCTATCTCCCCAGCCCATTTTTTTTGTCTTTTTGAGACAGAGTCTTGCTGTGCAGTTCAGGCTGGCTTTGAGCTCACTTTGTATCCCAGGCTGGCCTTGAACTTGGGGTGATCCTCCTGCCCCAGCCTCCTGAGTGCTGGGATTCCAGGTGTGCATCACCACATCTGGCCAGTCTTTGTCTTTTTAAATGCAAGTATACTTAAGACTGTGCATTGTCTTTTTAGCATGTTTTATCCTTGAATCTTAAATTCCTTGAACAGTAAATTGATGAGACTTTCCTTGTGGCCTAGTTTGTGATCAGTTTTTGTATTTGTTTGGTTTTATGGTCCTTGCTGTTGTTTCTGCGCCTGGTGGTGACTGTCCTGCCTCAGCCTCCCTTGGGGATTATGAGCGTGCAGCATCTTGCCCCTGGGGATTATGAGCCTGCGGCACGCTTACCCCTGGAGATTATGAGCGTGCAGTAGCTTGCCCCTGGGGATTACGAGTGTGTGGCACACTTACCCCTGGGCTTGTTGTTTGGTTTATTTGGTAACATCCTTTGCAAAGCAGGCCTACTCTCTGGCCATGCTTCAGTGTGGGGTCCTGGCTTGCTTGTTGATTTCATTGGTTCTTCTCTGTGTGTAGACCAACACACACATGTTAATTATGCTATTCTTTGCTTTGCTTTTGACCCCTTTGTAATTTCAGATAGTAGGTGATTTCTCCGCTGGACAATAACCTTCCTTGCCCTTTGCCTTGGAAAAAAATTTTTTCGAGGGAGTGGCTTTTCAGTGCGAAGGAAATGCATGTTTGTAATCTGGGTGCCTCCAGCTGACTGCAGTTACTTTGGAGGCAAAGCCATTTCTTACTGCGTGGACAGGTTTGAACATGACATTATATAATAAACATGTGCATCTGTCGCTGTGAGCGTTTTCCTCACTACCCATCTATGTGTTCTTTTCAAAAGGAAATATGAACTTGGGTAGTTCTGAAATACTGGCTTCTGCCAGCATTCTTCCTCTTAATTCAGGTTTATGAAGAAGTTTTTGAATAACAAGCAAAAAAGCAGTTTTATTGCACTGTTTATTGTGCTATAAAAATTCTTGCTTTCTAAAGTTTCGTAGGCAGAGCTGCGTGAGTCAGAGCCGCCGTGTCCAGTCCGCTCAGATCTTGCGTCCTGATTTGCCTCATCTCTGCTTCCTTCATCACCTGTTTCTTCTTTTGTGTGTGTTATATCTGTTTGATCCAATGCAGATGCAGGTGCCTTTCCTTTTCATTTAAACTGTCTATTCTGAGGCAGGCTGTTGGAATACAGTACTTGTTTCTGGAGATTTCTCTTTTGAACTCTCATAAATTTCGTGTGACTTTCTCTTGTCCTTGCTGCCTGGGGTGTGGGAGGGCTTTGTTGTGCTGGGGGCTACACCTCACCCTGCAAGGCAGGTCTGTGGACTCAGCTCATTGCCCCTGTGGGAGCTGCTCCATTTTACTGTGGTGACCTGAAAGAGCTAGGAGTTCTTTCTTTGGTCACTTGGTGGTGAGCTTTCATCACAAATGATTTTCCCCTCAGCAGGCTGCTGTGCAGAATCTCCCGAGTCTACCTGGTGAAAGAATTTCACCTACTGTATTAGATTTTGCTTTTTGTTAGGAATATTATTTCCGTTGAAATTTCTCTGAAAGAAATAAAAGGGGCCTGACAGTATTTCTTCATTGGTTGTCAGATTGTCATAACTGGAAAACCACCAAACTTGATTTTAGAGGCTTAAGGGGGAAGTTTGTTAGTTTTATTTATTTGTTTATTTTCATGTGTTTGGTACAGTCTCACTATGCAGCTTGGACTCGTAGTGACCCTCCTGTTTCAGCTTCCCAGTGCTAGGATTACAGGCGTGTGCTGTCTTGGTGGCTGGCTCACCACACCCAGGGGTGTGGTGTGTGGTGCTGGGGATCGAACCCTGGTCCCTGTGCTTGCCTAAGCAGGCGCTTAGTCTGCTGAGCTATCTCACCGGCCCTATTTTTTTTTTTTTTTTTAAAAGGAAATAAAGTGATAGCTTTGTATTCCTGAGTCACGCTTCTTGAGTAGTATCTTCCATTACACATTCCAATGATTTAAAGTTTTGGTTCTCAGATTAAAATGTCACCACCACACTATCTTGAGAAAATTGAGACACCAAGAATGTCACTTAGAGCACTGTCAATGTCTACCAAGCTGTGCTGTAGGACACATGAGTGGTCGCAAAGCCGCTAGAGCCCATTTGTAAATGTCACGAAGATAGTTATGAGGAGGTAGGTGTCTTTCTATAGGACTCATGATGGGACAAGATAACAGGTTACTTTAGTTGGAAAAAATGTGGATACGTGTGTACCATAGTTTGAATAAAAAAAAAAATACCATAGTTTGAAAGTAGCTGTAATTCATGGATATTTTTGGGTTGAAATGAGCATCATCTCTGCTTGTGAATAAAAATGTGATGAATACAGCTGTTGACTTCACCCAGAGCGGTAGCGTGGTATCTGAACCGGACATTTGTCCACATGGCTGAGGGCCTGTCCGTGGCCCCGCGTGGGGCTCTGCGGCATCTCTGTGTGGCAGGGTGTGTCCTGTGGGATTGAGGATTCTGTCCAGTGGTTTGAAGAGACTTTAGAAGGTCCAGTGAGGATAGTGAAACTTACAAAGCTAGAAATTGGGCTAAAATGGGCTGGGGAGATGGCTCAGTGGAATAAGCGCTTTCCTGGTAAGCGCAAGGGCCTGAGTTCAATCCCTGGTTCTGACAAAAAAAGAAATTGGGCTAAAAGGAGCGGCTCGGAGAAGCTGTGGCTGAGAAGGGGCCTGTGCCGCAGCACGTTGCACCTCCATGCTGCTGTGGCCATGACCTTGATGTGACCTTTCCATGTACTTGGATTGCTGCCTCCTGAGTTCCC